CATGGAATTGCCTCAATTGACAAAAACTACTTTCGTTCCCACAGAAACAATCGTTAGAGGGCACATGTGATTGAGAAAGGCTGTAACTTAAAATATTATTTTCTGCAACTTGTAAAATAAGTACCTTGAAGGAATTGAACTCTCCCGCTAGCAAAGGATACTCTTTGAGAAAGTGAGCTTAGCCTTGMAAAAGCTTCACTCATGTTATCACCCAGATTCTCCAGAAAAGGAGCCATATTTGAGGAGCATTCATACAGATTAAGCATTGCCTCTTGTTGGCTCTTTAAAGATGACATTAAACTCTTTTCATCAGCTGTCTTCTTGGCAAGCTCCTGTYGCAGGGATTTTGTTGTATTTAATTCTATCTGAAGTTCTGCATTTCTATCAGCCAGTGTGTGTGAAATGATGTCCAGGTCTTTTCTTGACRCCTCTAGCTCACTTTGAAGTCTAGAAACCTTTGAAATAAAGAGAAGTAATACAATCATGCAACAGTTCATTGATGGATGATTTGACATCTTCCATGCAGCTAAATTGCACATCCAAAAATATRACTTGTTCTTCTTTAATATTGAGCAATCATCAAGCAATTGGTTATAACAGATATATATACTCATGTATGTACCAATACACACTCTAGCAAATAATTTATTTGCAGGGCAGGGCTTTCAGAATAAGCTACCAGTGGCCAGGTTTCTGGTGATTCCTTCGAAGTTAACCACCAGCTACTTTTTTTTTCTATAAAATACCTTCTGTTCCTTTTATCGGATCACAGCCAGCTACTTCTGACTTATGACCACCTACACTCCAACAAAATATTCTGAAAGCCCTTATTTAATTGATGTTAGTCTGTGGGCGATTATTAACCCATCTGCATTTTTATTGTGATTAACGCATTGCAATAAAACTGTAGTGATATTTTTTGTTGTTTTAACCAATAGGGATTTAAGAAGAGATAACTAGCTAAAAACTAGTGTGAGCTGCGTCAGCGTTTCTAATGAAACAGTAATGATAAAAAAGTAAATTATACACCATGAAAAGATGAAAAAACTTTTACTCCAACGAAAGACTAGCGTCCAAAACGTCAGTGGTTTTTTCATCTTTTCATGGTGTATGATTTACCTTTTTATCATTACAGTAGGGATTTAGTTCAGGTTACCTAYGTATACATGCTAACAAGCTTACCAAGTRTTTGYTCATATTCTTATCATTCTCAATGCTGATTTCTTGTGACTTCAACTGAACCAGTAAAGCAAAGACCTTCTGCCTCCATCTTGACAACAAACTATTTACTTTATCTTCTCCACTTCCTATTCTCTTATTCAGTTCTTCTTCGTGAATGGAAATGATTTCATTCAACGAGCTGAGCCTGATTTTTAGAAATTCAACAGTAGAATTAACAGTTTTGTTTTCTTTCATCAATGTTTCCATTTTCTCTTTCATTTCTTCATTTTSATTTCTCATTCTTTCAAGCTGGGTATTGGGAAGGTTTTCTCCAATGTATACTCTTAGCTGTTCAATAGTATTCTGTTCCTGTTTTATCTGCTGGTCTTTTTTGTGCAGTTTTTCTAAAACAAAARCGATCAATAAGGATTAGTGCAAATTCTGTTAGGAAAAAAATTAAAACTAAAACCAACCTGTATTTTTGGATGTTTTTTTAGGTAAGGATACATGTTTATTTGTATCATAATCAAGGTAATTCCTAAATTTATCCCACATTTAGCTTCAATATCAGTGTGATAAAGCTGTGAATAAAAACTATATCAGTGAAGTGATATGATATCACTTTATGGTAAACTGAAAACTGTGAGCTTTGTTATTGTATAGACCCTGAATTTTTTAATTTTTTGGTTAATATTAAACAATCCCCACCATATGGTAAGTGGTTGGTAACTCTCTTTGCTGACCACTTACTGTTATCTTAGGTATTTTACCGTTAACTTACYGAACACTTACCATAACCTTGCTGACCACTTATTGACCAACCACTTACCGACCTCTTACCTTATGGTTCAGATTTTTCACTATTACCAATATATTATCTTTGTGTATGACAAGAGAAGCTCAAATATTTGCAAATAACTAGAACACAGGAAACCCACAACATACCTCTGAATTCCTCCAATGTCTTTTCGTGTGATTTCATAGTTTCCTGAAGTGCATGTCTCAGTTCTTGACCAGTTGCTTCAAAACGTTCCTGGCTAGTCTGAATTTCAGCTTTATGCCGGCTTACACTTTCCAAAAACTCTTTTTCCTTCTTTTGAGCCCCATCTTTTACTGCAGCCATTTCCTTGTCTTTGTTTGTCAAATCATTCCGCAGTGAACCAATAATCTTATCCTTTTCAACAATACACTCACTCAACTCCTTCACATCCCTTGAATATTTGAATTTACAGTTATTCAGAGACTCCCGAAGACTCTTTATATCCTGGTATTTCTGAGCTTCATGTTGACTAAGAACATTTTCAAATCCTTCTCTATTAATATTTATCTGTTCATGTGCCTTTTGTAGCTCTGATGTTAAATCTTTTATTTCAGAAGTTTGGCTTTTTAATTGTTCTCTAAGATTTTCTAAATCACTCTCATATTTTGCATCCTTTTCTTTGATTTCTTGTTTCAGTTGTCTGACCAAGGGACTGTACTTTGTTACCTCTTCGTCTAATTTTTCGAGCTCTCTTTCATAATTTAATTTTATCTCTTTTATATCGTTTCTTTGTTTACTTATTATAGCTTGTTGCTTCCTGGTTTCTGACTGAAGAGCTGCGTTCTCCTCTTCAAGTTCAACAAGCCTTCTCACGTCATACCTCTCGCCAACAACCTCAGCTCTTCGCAGAAGATCCTTACTCCTACGATTCTTCTCTTTCTGCTCAACAGCATTCTCATCCAACATTTCCTTCAAAGTCTTCACTTCATCTCGAAGACAGTCCACCTCTGTTCTTTCATTTTGCAGATCAGCTTCGGAAACTCCCAACTTCTTTTTAGCCTCATTTAACTCTTTTAAAACTTTCCCGGGAACATTTACCTTCTCGTATTCTCCAGGGGTTAATAATTTCTTGTCTCCAGTTCCTGTTTTTGAAGTAGAACCTGTTTTACGGGGAATAACTTCAAAATGAGCTGGAGATAGGAACTTCCCAACATTTCTGGCCGCCATTTTGATTTTGTATCTCGCGCTCCCGCGCTTTCTAAGACAGGAAGCCCAAGCACGATATTAGTGACAACCATGCATTTTTCCAGTCCTAGTCATTTTATCCCTTACTAAGATAAAAGCTCCCATAATGCGTTAAAACTTATCTCCTGCAAATAAGAGGAGTCAAAAGACAAGAGAATGATAAAAAAATTCTAAATCAAATGTAGAGAAAAATGCGGGTTTTTACTACCCATACRAAGAGAACATTAAGTATTCTGTTGCCCATACATAATACAAAAATAGTAAAATTCAATTGCGGTAAAAAAATGTATCCTCTACCCTGAATCAGGAGCATACTATGTCTGAACTAGAAGTATCCCTTAACCTGATTTAGAGGTATTCATTACCTTAAGGTATCCCTTATGATTGAATGGTGAGTTTGAAGGAAACGACTACATCCCGGGCGCAGAGTGCGTCTCACAGCCACCTCACAGCCTAAATTACATACATTTACTGTATTTTATGTGGTCCCTCATCGCCCGGGATGTAGTCTTCGTCCGTACCTTACTGAATGCTTATATTTCAAGCCATTTCGAAGCCATTTTTTTTAAATCCTAGCATTTCTAATATGAAAAAACATAAAGAATACATTCTGTGTGATTGTAAAAAAACTCAAGGTACAAATTAATCAATATTTAAAGGTTGTGTCTAGATGGGATACTCGCAGTCCAGGTGATTCTTGGAGCCTTTTTCTAAGTGAAGAGAACACCAAAATTTCTATAAAGTCCCACTCGTGTGGGTAGTATCTTTGGCCTGGTTAGAGGAGGGAGGACACCCATTCAATCCGCATAGTCAGCGCCAGGTTTTGGTCCCAGAAGCAACAAATGCAGTACCCAGTCACATGGRGAAGGGAAGGAGAGCCGTATACTCCGTGTCGTTTTGCTCACGTGTTGATACTTTGATGCTCGTAAAAACATTTTCTTTTTACGACAAAAACAAWTCAAATTACTCCATTGATCTCTAGTTTTTCCCCTCTTTTAGAATTTGTTACTTTTTGCCTCAAAATCTAAAATTGTGGAAAATCTGAATCTGGATTCACTCCTTGGATCGGACTTTTCCTAGGTGGAGTGYCGGAATAAGAAAAAAATTTACTTTAGTATTTCAACTTGAAATCACAGTGAAAAGTGTAACATTGCTAGAAAAATTACTTTGACGCAGYTATTTTTAAGGATTAATGAAAAATGATGGCTTATATGAGAAGGATACGTTAAGGGGTACTCGGTGACAATCTGTGAGTTTATTCCAMTTATTTTATCATTTCTTTATCAAGAAAGACGTTATAAAAATCCTCCCTTGGGGCCATCATGCCAGATAACATGCTTAAAAAATAAAATAGAGCGGCCTATAGCT